ATAAAAATCTTTCAAATCCGACTGTAGCTTTTTCCCCAAAACTGTCTTCAAAATAAGGGTGCGTCTTATATTCCGAAAAATACGGTACTCACAATCCATAGAGTTCCAAGTAATAACACACACAAGGCTTAGTATAAACAAACTAAGTAAAGCATAACAATCTTGTCTTATAAAGTATTTCAAAATGCAAATTTTCTCCTCATTTATATACATAAGGTAATTGTGGCTGCAGAGTGTTATAAATAAGAGCATTTCATCAGCTGTTACTACACCAAATAAATTAAGAAGTGTATATATATATATATATATTATGTATCAAACTTATTCTCATGTTTAGCTATTTATATATATATGAAATTAAACAAAGTACTATATTTTGACTAGGTTTAAAGATTTAGTCACAATAAAAAAAGCTAAATATCTTTACAGGGATATAACAGTTAAAAGATGTAGGTATCTCATAGCTAGAGAATAAACTTACATAAAGAAAACACCATAAAACTTACATTAAAGTGTAGTTTAGAATTTTTACCCTACTTTACATCAAAAAGCTATATTTTTCATTCTTGCACTTTCTTTTGTAATCCATTTAATTTAATGTGTATTTATTTATTTATGAATTTTCCACAGTAGATTTAGTAGTAGTAATATATATATATTTTTTATTGTTATTTTGTGCATACATTTGGTGTGAATCGATACTGATAGCCTCTTTTGATAATTTTGTGTATTAAAGCTAGATATTTTTGTTATAATATGGTTATGAAATTTTTATTATTTTAAAACCTTAACTTATTGGAACCATATATAGTAATATCATATCAAGAATCACCTGTTAATTCTCCATTATCTCCTAACGTCAACATCTTGTCCAGCTCTATACGTTCTGGAGCTTTCTTCAAATGTACCAAGTTATACTGTTCAAAGTAGCTGGAAAAGTAGGAGCAAATGGTGCAAGTTTAATACCATTATGAACTTGTAACAGGAAATGTTCTCCAAATGTAAGTTTTAGAAAATAAGTAGTTGAGAATTCCTTATAAAATATGTTTTTATTTCTTGTAGATAATCAATGTTAATTCAATTAGAAAAATAAAACCATTAATAATACCTTAATCATTTTTTGTTACTTTTTTACATTTTACTTAAATTAAAAATTAAGAAAAGTAAGTACTGTTTCTACCTAAATAGTATTAGCTCTATAACTCAGATAATAGAAGCAATAACCACAAAATTGACAAATCTAAATGGTGTTTACAATGCAGAGAATATATTTGTTTTAAATGTATTCATGGATTCTACTTCCAACATATAATATACTTTAGAATAAAGTTAATTTCAATATTCTCACAAATCTTTTACTTTTTTTTTTAGTTAAGTGCAACTGAATTACATGTATACAATAAGTTGTCTTTATTTTTCTATCCTGGAGTAAAGAAAATCATAAATCAGTCAAACGTATTGTGAAAGTTAAAATAAGTCTTGCTTGTCGCATACAGGTATTTACGTTAAAGAAAAAGGTAGGAATAAGTATAAAACAAAGCTAATGTAATTTTGTGTGTTTTCATTAATAAACAAATAATATGACATTTTTATTTTAAAATAAAATTAATTAAATTAGCTTAGCTTAAATTAGCTCTTCAACTACATAAGATCAAAATTTGTTCACAAACAAAGGATATTATATTTAATTTGTTATGTCAAGGGCAATCAACCTATAACTGGTTAAATAAATGAAGTAACAACACCTTTATCCCTATGCAAATGTTATTGTCTACATTTCAGAATATTCCTACTGTTTCTTTAACATTTTATTTGGTTCTAATTTAGTAGCTATATAATAGTGTGACATGAGAATTTTCAGTGCTTAACTATTTTTGTAGTTTCAAGATTTTCATCACATTACATTTAAAACAATAAAATAAGTTTGTAATCAATTCTCATTTCATATAAATGTTTTTTGTTACAAAATTATATATACATTATATTACTATTATATATATATACTTTTCAAATCAAGGACTATGATTATACACAAACAATCGCAAGTACTTTAACGAGTTAATGTTAACATTATCATTTATTTGTGTAAAATTACGTTCCTTATTTCTTACATATAATCAAACAATTTTTCAAGAAAAATAATTAAAATAAAAAACACATGAACATTTGCAGAAATTACAATAAAAATAATTAACCAAAAACAAAGTATTACAACACAATCAAAATTTATATATATACATATACAAGTCACACACACACACACACACACACACAAAAGTACTTTAAAAAATGCAAAAAAATTGGTTAATATTTTGATCAATGATTATTAATTTTATCACAGAACAGAAATGTATACTTACAGCCATGCTAAATCTTCTGTAAGCTGAAGCTTGTTACACGCTATATGTCTCCATACTGAATAACTACAAATGCAAAGAGAAAATATTGAACCAAATTACACACACAAACACACCAACACACTTGAAATATATTATATACGTACTTCATGACATTAAGCAATTTACACCCACCCACATATCAAAAATACATTATATATAGTTTTCATATTATCATCATTGAATGATTATTGTAAAGTCCTAACTATCCTCTTACATGAGAATTAAGTATTTCCTAAATTTTACTTGATTTCACCGTTCCTAATATAAGAATAGACGTGCAGCACTTACAAAATGTAAGTGCTTTTACATAATGTGCAACATTTACATTACCATAAAAATCATGAGGTCTCATTAACCTCTAACAACTCTGTGGAAAAAAAAGGGAGCGGTGGTGGTGGAGAATTATCTGTATTTATTTTTCTGAACATTTGGTGATAAGTTTTAAAAGAATATTTAAAAAAATTTTTATAAACATTTGTTCAGTTGTTTAGTTTGCTAATCATGTGCTAAAGTTGAATATAATTACTAGTACAGTTTATTTCTTCTTAAGTTCAAAGTTCTGAGTATAACAATCTTGATAACTTGTATTTACAGCCAGTGTTATTCGGTCTTAAGTTTTCTTTTTTTTGAGGAAATCAATTTACCTCAATTTTGGATAACCTACTTCTCCTCGACCTTTTGCATAAGGAACTATTCTCTTGAGATACTGAAAAACAAGCATACGTATAAAAACTAATGATCATAACATCAAGTAGAAAATCATGCTTCCAATGAAAGTAAACAAAAACAACCAATTTGATAAATTTTTAAAAGTAATTGCAGGACCTAGTCAAACATCATATCAGTGAACAAGCCAGCTCACTTATACGGCATTATATTTAAAGTCTCAAGTTTATTTATGACAATGCTTACACACACACACACACACACACATATATATATACGTGTTTATAGAAATAATGTAATATCTTTTTG